TAATGTGAACCACTTAAATAAATGTGAACCAAATTTTACAAAGAATCTTCAGATAAAACAAGAACTACATTGTGAGGTCAAGTCTTTTTGTTTTTTCGATGCATTATTGCGGATTGGATGGTCTTTCTAAAAATTATTCCATTTCTACTGAATCAAACATAAAAGAAAATGAGCAAGTGAATTGTGAATTGAAATGAATAGTTAATTCACATATTACAATTTTGATTTCAATGACCTAAACAATTTTATGTGGAATATAATCAGTCATGGAAACATGTATTCCATGCTAAAAGAACAATTTTGGGGAAATTTGTTCTTCAAAAAATGAATTATGTGGAAGTCAAGTCTTTCTGAGTAACTCTTTGCATGAAACTAACTTTTGTGAAAATTTGGACATAGTTATATATACTCATTTTCAACTACACATTTACACAATAAAATATTATGCACGTAAACCCTTAGTATTTCAATCTTTTGACGCCTCGTTGATTTGAGTGACTTTGTATCGTAATTGAGGCTCATGAATAGATGTGTATGAAGTTTTCTACCCCATTGTGCACGCTAAGAGGAATTGAGGCCAATGAATAGATGTTTATGAGGACCACATGTTGTAGCCCATTGTGCACGCTACGAGACGTATAGAGAAAAAATTAATTGAATAATAATTTCATTATATGAAATAAGTTACGTTACATGTGATGAGGCACGGAATAAGGAAATCAAGCGAAAATTTTAAGAATACGAATTTTAGAATCTACCAAATTATGAAAAATTAAACTCACGAATTTTATTAATGTAAGATGATCAAAAATAATGAGATAACCCTTTATTTATAAAGGTTTACATGAAAACCTAATTTAATAGGATTAAAATTTAAAAAGAATTCGAAATAAACTAAATGACAAAAATAGTGCTAAAACTTTAAACAACAGTTTTCGAGTCCTAAATGAATTCGGATGCCTAAAATCCATCGTATGTGATGGCATAGCAATGAGTGTTACTCATATCGTCGGCATTATCAGAATTTTAGAGAGAATGAAATTCAAAGCAGAGAAAGTTTGCAATGAAAATGATATAAATTTCTTGGCAGTAGGGCAAACTATAGATTCATTTGTTAAGTCGGTTAACAGACATCTGTTAAGTCGGTTAACAGACAAAACGACCCAGACTAGAAAATATCTGAAAAGAGTCGACGGTAGGAAATAAAAATTATCGTTTAAATTTTTTCATAAATTCCTGTGCTATATTTATTTTAAAAAAATATTAATTCATATTGAATTATGTCATATAAATCATATATTAGAATATTTCACTTGAACTTTTTTTTAGATTAGTATCAGAATACCAGTGAATTAGTCTCTTAATCGACAATAATTATATATAAGATTCAACTAAGTAACCAAAATTTTCAATCTGAACGCTTCATTGATTCGAGTGACATTGTGTTGTAATTGAGGCCCCATGATATATGTTTATGACAACCACATGTTATAGCCCATTATGCACGCTATAAGAAATTGTAGTAAAGTCTACTTCATTGTGGGACATACATCTTCATATATAATTTGATTGCTTGAGCACACGGTACTTGAAAAACTTCAATCCTCTTTAATTGCTATAAACATTATATCAGAGAAAATGATGGATATTAACAGATTCATCAAAGTATTGAGCGTGCTGATGTTTGTACTTTCACTGT